TCTCGGCAATGTCGCTTTCGAACGATGCTGCCCATGGTTGAAACAAATCCAGTTGTCTTTCGCACTCTGATAGCACCGAGAGATCTGCAATTTGCGCTGCGACCCATCCGGAAATCATCTGTGAAGCAGCCCTGTCTTTCCTCGTGACTCGTTCCAGCTCGTCCAAGAGCGTAGGCAACCCAGTCAGGAACAACTGCTTCTCGTCAAAGAGAGTGTCGATAATCCAGAAGAGCTCCGCGACCGTTGCATCTTTGCTGCGATCACCAACTGATGTGACCTGGATGATTGTAGTCGTTGGGTCTGGTGGGGGCACACGACGGAACCAAGGACGCATTGGCGGTGATGCAGGCCATCCCATCTTCAAGTTGGAAATCGGGCCCGGTCGAAACATTTGTAGAAAGTGTTTCAACTTGCAGAATGCCATCGCGTAGTCGTGAGGAAGACTCTCATCGGGCTTGAAATTTCTGTTGCGATACTTTCGGTCTTTGAGATCGATGAGATGATCGATCTTCTCCGCCAAGGATCTGTACACCTCCACAGGAAACATGGCGCTCGATATGATATTTCCAATGAGTCGCTGCCAAAAGACATCTGGGGCGTGAGCATGGATGGGATGTGGCTTGCCGTTGGTGTCCAGCATCATCTCTTGTCGGTGCTCCTTCCAATCTCTCACCGTGACGCTGAAATAATCGGGGTCTTCTCGCAGAGCCCAGATATGATCTTCGGCCTCAGCTAGCTTCGACTTGATGATGCTCTGGAGGCCAGCAATATCGAGACGGGCAGGAACTCGGTAAGGACCTTCAAGCCGAGTGACTGCCAATGATGCAGCGATGGAGTCGTTGGAATTACCAGTCACTAAAGGTGGCTCAGGCGGGATGGTCATTGCTGGGTCTGTGAGCTCTTCGGGGGAGATGTCGTGAAGGATGCTCTTGCAGACGTCCACGAGAAATCGGTAAAGGCGTGATTGGAATTCCAGGATCCAGAGACCTTCTCCCGGATGGACTGCTGTACGTCGAAAGTTCCAGGTGCTAGCATCAGGCTCATCGTCCCATGAAACAAGGGTGCCATAAGTTTGAGGGGTGCATCTTCCGAGGAACAGCATTGAGTACAAGTTGAGAAAACGGGGCATGTCCATGGTCCTGCTGACCTGCCCGAATCTAGACTCTTCGACGTCATTCATGGCGAATACATCAGGCGTGTTCCGGCCGCGAGAGTTGATCAGTAGAAGAAGGGGTTCGGTTTTGCTGAGGTCTTCCAAGTTGATATGCGGCCACAGACAGGCTTCACGAGCTTGCTCGCCAGACCTTTTCTTCCTGAAAGCAGCAAAGTCCGGCCTGTGGTACTCAGACATGCCGGGCCAAGCAGCCAGAAGGACACCTCGGCGTTTGGATTTGGACTTCTTTATCCACCGGTTCTGGATGGTTGCCTCGTGTCTCTCCACAATCTTCCGGAGCAGGTCCCATTGCTGCAAGACTTCTTCCGCCATCGGCGCAGCCAGTGCGCGTACCTCTGCGGGTTTGATGAGTTCGGCTTTGGGCAATGAACCAGGGTCCATGCCCAAAGATGCGGCAATATCTGAGAAGTCCTCCATTGTGATGCCGAGTAAGGTGAGAGTGAGAGGTTGAGTAGATGCGAACGAAAGAATGGGGAGGTGGGTCGTCTAGTTTTCAAGGTAGTAAAGCGGGGTGCGGGATCGGACAATGTGAGTTCACCATCCGACAAATGAAGTGAACCTAACTGTCCTACAACTTCGGGGACACTTCAAGCCTCGGGAATGTTCAACATCAACGTGTGATTCGGTAGAATGAAGGCCCGAGCGTGGTTTTCACAAAAAATATTCCCCAACAGATTGCGAACTAAACAAGTTGGCAAGTAGAAACAGAAAAAGGAACGGTGTCTCATTAAATTGGGACAATGATAGCTCAAAGGTCTTTTACCACATGCCACTTAATCCTTCCAGCTCAGCTAATGAGCAAAGTGAATTTGATATAATCAGAATAACTGCAGCCTCATAGATGTTTGAGCTTAGCCATACCTGTCCGCTTGCCACAGAAAGTGGTTTCGAGACGTCAGGCAATGCTCTCCTCCGGTAAGTGCCCACGGTGCCGGATATGAGTGGGTCCCCGTGGCTTGCCCCATATTTACCGCACGCTCGGCTTTGACCCGGGCACCCCGTGGCACTGCCGGGCGATGCTGTTCGTTGATCAACCTGTCACCGCAGTCCCGGCACTCTGAGATACCCGCATCTCGGTGGATAACTCAATATATATAGGAGTCGCACCGACTACACCAAATCGCTGAAGAGCAGCGCAGGGCAGACCGCTTCAGATTCAGATTGATACGGAGGATGCCTAGGACCCCGTTCCTATTCCGACGGTTTCTTGGCCCATATGGCCCGACTTTGGATGTTTTAGTACCTCTATACAACAATTGGTTAATATCATGGAATGCAGCACTTACATGGGCCAATATCCATGATTTCCCCGATCACTGAGGTCCTTCCTGACCTCAGCGGCAAAAACCTGAACCTCTTCCTGCCGCCAACCGTGCACTCGCGTCATGGGCGCCATTATCATACCGGCTGTATTACTTGCAAGATTTTCACGAGACCACGAGCCGAGTTCTTTCAGGTAAGGGTCCCGGGGCCACGTATTGAGGGGCCAGATGAAGCGGCGGTCGGTCACTTCCACGAAGCCAGCCTCTGGTAAGAGGGATGTCAGAGTATCTAGCGGAATGAAGGGACATCCGAAGACTTCCAAGGCGGATGCGACGTAGGAGAGGCTTTTGTAGAATGCCCCGCGCTCGCATGTGCCATCGGCGCTGAAGATGTTGGACTCGGCCTCCTGGAGCTCGACGTAACCTCCTGGCTTGAGATTCCTAAGCACGAATGAGAAGAAGGCCCCAGACTTGGGGGATCAGAGCGCTCACTCAAAACACTTCTTCAGAAGTTCAGCCCAATTTCGAACGCTACCTGACATTCCCCTGATGTGGATGTAGTCGAATGGTCTGGAATAGATCCATTCATTGTCCAAGTCGTCCACCTCAAAGTAGACGTTTGGCGGTACACTTTTCACTAAGTCAATTTCCTGTAGGTTTTAATACGTACGCGTGAATTGGAGCTCACAACTCGGGCTGGGTTGCCGAAAGGTCGAACCCCAAGACCTCCGCGTCTGGGTGCTCATCCCCAAAGTCAATCGACCAGATCCCAGTGCCGGTTCCGACGTCAAGTACGCGGCCCTTCCAGTCAGGATCATTTGGGGGAGCATATCCCAACCTGTTATCGAATGTGAGAAGAAACAGGTGGTGTTGAAGGTCCAATCTGTTCGACTCGTCCTCATCGTTGGGTCCAAAGTATTCTGTCAACACATTTCAGTACTTCACTTCCAAGGCTAATATCTCCTCATGGAAACGAGAGTTGAACATTGACTTACTGCCTTCTTTATACCTGTGGTAAGTTCGCCCATTTTCGACTCGGTAGTCTATCATTGAACTACGGAGACTCGTGGTCGCAGAGAAGTCATCCTGGAAAGGGAGTGTGTGTTAGTAAACCTCTGAAAAGCACACCGCTGACTATGGCGGCGTTCATGGACACATACCTGTCCGAGTGATGAATCCGTGTCACCCTATCCTGAACATTAGCTTTTCTCCGCCATAACCGAGTCAGGACTCCGCAACTCCGATGTCGCGAATGTCACCCAGTACGCACAGTCACGACGGCCTCAGGAGGCACTTCTGCTTGAATATTCGTCTCAGCCATCTCGAGGCATGAGTCTGATAACTCCGAAACATCAAGAATGATGGTAGTGATGTTGTTTGTTAAGTTACGAGAGGCGAACCCCTCAATATTAGATGAGGGTGTCTCCTCGCTTTCGCAAACTTCGTCAGTTGGGGAATACGACCCAACTGGCCCAGGATACCCGGCCACAGCGGGTCCTGTATCCTGCTTTCACCGCATTTCTGCAAGTTTGACAGCTCCTTAGCGTCTCGAGAAAAGCGTAGTCCATTTCGACCTCGACAGCAACCACGATGCACACTCGATGGTCAGTGGACAATGGAGGCAACAAATCCTGCAAGCGAAATTGAAGAAAGAGAATAGAGACCCTTGTCTCTCTCCCAATTATTGAGAGGGATCGGCTTACATAACCGATCAGACCGGTTAGTTCCCCCGCGTTTGTTCCCTCGCGGAGGCTTCCTGCATTCTTATCTTGGCCAGCCAGTAACAGACCGGGGTCTCTCCTGCAAGCTGCCGGAGAGAGGAGTCGTTTCTTTTCTCGAGTTGGTCCAAGTCGCCACCAACATGGCCGGACTTCCAACAGACCCCGAAATCTTGGTCCAACGGGCTGGGAGATCGCCGCATTTCGTGGTTCTCAACATACCCCGAATTCACGAACCCAAGCCCACACAAGACAGCCAGCGTGCGCGCAACGGAATCCACACTCGCAACTCCACATCGCAGCCATGGCAGGCAACGGATCCCGGACCCGGGACGGATGCTATCACTGCCGGCAAAGAAAGAAAAGATGCGACAAGTACAAGCCCGAATGCGGCAAGTGTCAAAAAGACGGTGTTGCCTGCGTCTATCCAAGCCTGGACCCCACCTCAGAGTTGAAGTTCACAGAACCTTGGAGCGGACCGTGGCGAGGACAGCATCCCATTCTTCCTCTCAAGACGGCCGCCAATAATTCTTTCGTAAACATCGCGCGAGATGAGCTTGCCGTCATTTGCCAACAGTACATCGAGAATCCGGTGCGGCAAATAACCGCAGGTCGGCAACGCCAGCAGCAGTCGGTCCTGTCGTTGAATGAGTTGCCTCTAAAACCCAATCCGTCATGGCGACCCATGTCGAATACGGAATCGAAACTGGTACAGTATTGCAAGTCACATCGTCAATTGCCTTCGTTTCTCATTGGATACGTTCTAATCCACTAGCAGACTTTGAAGTCATCAGCAACAGCAAAGTCTACGTGGACACCGAAAGCAACATCTTCAAGTCGTCTGTCATGCCCATCCTTCTCAGCAATGACGGCCCGCTGCTATCGACAGTCCTTGCTCTAAGCGCTGCCGAATGGGATCGCAGAGGCGCTCACGACGGAGTCGATTATGGCAACAGCGCCATCCGATACAAGGGGAGGGCTCTGAGCCAGCTCAGGTCCAGCATCATGGCGGAGACCAATGCCGAGGAAAATGTTTTGACGTGTGTGCTTCAGGCTTCATTGGAGATCTCGGCAGGTTCTGGGCCGGACTGGCTGCTTCATCTCCGCGGAGCATTGGCGATCATGGAGAACCATCCTGGTTGTGTCAGCGCCAATTGTGCAGCTTTAGCTCTGCAATACTTCCGATTCCGATACATCTTGATGAAGACGACGGAAAACAGAGAGCCTGGTCGGAATGATGCAAAAACAAATTGCCCCAAGTCAGATCAGTGCGGCAATGCAATCGAAGCCCTCAACAGAATCTCCCTGAAGCCAGAGAGCCGACAAACTGTTCATCCCCAGACTGGCTGCTCGACTGAACTGGTGGAGCTGATCAACTTGATCAGTTTGACGGCGATCAACGATCAACAGCCGTCAACAGCATCCGAAGATGGCCCATCTCTGGAGAAACGCATTCGGGAGTTGGAGTTCCACGCAACGGAAGATTATCTCTTGAAAAGCGCGGAATGCTTCAGACTCGCCACGCTGATATACTTACACCTCAAGGTGTACCACGCTCCGATTCGGTTTCCGTCAATGTCGACCTTGCTGCAGCCGTTGATAGATTGTCTCGCAGAGGTCATCCGCGAAGATCTGCCGCGGCGGTCATTCCCGATGTGGCCGCTGTTCATCGCGGGGTGCACCAGCTGTATCGACGAGCATCGCAAAGCTGTGCTCGATATGCTGAATCTGCTCGACGACAAGTGGCCCATCAGCAACATCTCCACCGTCACAGAAGTCATGGCGACAATCTACAACTTCCGGGACCTCAACGACGGTTTGGCTGCAACTGTGCAACATGACTGGCAGCATATCATTGGCAAGTTCGGATGGAAGCTGTCTCTGTCGTGATCTCATGACTTTGAACAAAGGAAAAGAAGTACACACACGAATGAAATATCACAGTCGAGCCTTCGAAGCGGCCTCGTTTTCGGCAATCAGATCCTTCATCTCCCTCACGGTGCCGACTCGCCAACTCACCGAGTTACCCCAGTCATCGCTCTCGCCATTTGGCGTCCGCCACTGCCAACGCGGCAGCTCTTGTAGCCCGGTCTCCAGGAGCTGCCTGACCCATTTCCCAAACACCGGCATCATCTTGAATCCGTGCCCAGAGTCCCCTGAGAGGACGACCAGAGACCGCGAGGTCCCCGGCACGAAGTCGATGCAGTACTCCGAGTCCTGCGTGTCTGAGAACCAGCAGAACTTGCGGTCGACAAAGGGCCGATCAGCCAGCCACGGCAGGGTTTCGCGCAGGAGAGTCCGCAACTTGTGCTCGTCGTCGGGCGGAATGAAGTCTTGGGATCTCGCGGACAGGAACTCAGTCGGCGTCGACGTGCCGTTGACAGTGTTTGTGAAGCCGGCGCCGAGCGGGCAGAGCTTGAGCAGGCGCGTCGCCGGGTCGGGCTCGAAGAAGAATCCCAGGTCGCGGACGTTCGTCACGGGGATCCCGCGGAGGAAGTCGGTCTCGTCCTCGGTCAGCTGCACATGCGCCACGGACCAGCACCGGGCGACGGTGAACTTTGCGAGTCCCGGCACCAGCGAAGCGCCGTAGGCGCCGAGTGCGCAGACCGTCTTCGCCGCGGCGTGTTCTGTGCCGTCGGAGGTTCGCACTCCGGCGCATCTCCCGGAAGCATCGTACAGCAGGTCGGTGACGTTGCCGGCATCCCCAAGGAGAAACCGGACCCCTCTAGCTGCGCAATGGCGGTGAACGGCCTTTAGGGTGTTGCCTGAATGACCGTAACCGGCAAGCCTGTTGTGGTATCCCTTGAAGCCACTCATGGGCCCAGAGAACTGCCAAACAAACTTCCTGAAGTCGTCCGCGCTGCGCAGCAGGTCTATCTCGTTGTCGAACTCGGACCTGGACTGCACCGAGGACAAGGACTTCTCAAGGACCTCGACAGCTTTTGGGGGTGCGCTGCCGGAGGTGGCGACGATGTAGCCTGTCTGATGGTAGTAAGGGCCAAACAGGGGTGTCTTCCATCCTTCAAACGCTTCCTACAGTGCTGTGAGCTTACTTGGCGGTCTTGGAATGGGAAAGGGGTGCCTCACGAGAGCCAGTTTGGTGTAGAAGACGTCTTCGTAGTCTGCGCGAACGATTTTGTTGATGTCGGACGCAGCGGAGAATCGCGACGGGACGTCCTCGGCCCTGTCGACGACCAGGATGTTGGAATAGTGGGCATTGAGGAGGTGCAACGCCGTCGAAAGCCCGAACGCGCCGGCGCCGACGATGACGATGGGCATCGACTTGTCCATGGTATCTGTATGTGATGGAGAGAAACTTTCAGTATACTCAGGAAGACCCTCCGAGATTTGCCTCAACTTAACGATCTATCTATATTACACTGCAATGGATCTGCTCCCCGCCGTCGCCCCTTAGTGTTGTTGGCACACCGGTCAAGTCTGTCAAATCGAACAAACTTCAACCGGGCAAGAAAGCTCCGGTTTCCCATTTATCCAATCATATCTGCAGGGACTTTGCATCGCCCGGTTACATCTGCGGCCAACGATCTCCGGGACGCACGATACCAAGCCGGCATGATCTGTCGTGACATCGTCCTCGTGCGGGCTAGCGTAGGCGACTCCCATCCTTCTTCGATGCCGGGCACATTGGATGAAATGTCTTGACCCACGCGTGGGAAAATGCCCCGAAAACTTGTTTTCGGACTCTGTGCAGCGCAAATCCGCTGCCACGGTGGGGTTGGTGACACCAAAAAGGCGTCTTTGGGGTCCCTGATCAGCGCCGGTGGATCACAGGCAATGGGGAAGGAGTGGGGTGTGCTATGTTTGGTGTTATCCCACTGGCTAGGAGAGACCGGATACTCAAGGGTTTAAATGCTCTTGGGTCAAATCTTTAGGGGTGGTGACTGGGCTAATGAAGGTATTCCCGGGCGTCCAACCGGTGATCTCGGCGAATTCGCCGAACTGGCCTGACGGGGTTGATTGCTGACAAGGGCGTACTATGTACGAAGGAGATGCTGAGAAAGATACTCCGGCAAGGTTTCGCAAACGTACGCATCATCGTTCTGTCAGACACGAGCAAGACACCGGAAGATTTTGCCTGCTTGAGTAAGATCCCGGCTCTTTTTTCGGGATGGGGGTCTCGGCCCCGTGGTGGATCCCGGTCGACACCCGGCGCAGGGCGGCGCTTAAGCTAACCCGGTCTTGTGTCTCCCCCCGCATCGTGGTGGATCTCTGACCCATGGCATCGGTAACACAGCTTCCTCGGGATACTTGTTACGTGAGTGACCCCGTTTACGCTGGTTTCCTATTTAGGACGGCTCTGTACCAATGCGCGTGAGATTGATGCCGGATATGCAACGGGTCACAGCGGTGACACGGAGTAGCTGTTTGTGGGACGACATTGATCATGAGTTGGCCGGGTGAGAAGTTTATCTTGCAGCCCTTGGATGTTTTTATCCGTGGCTTCGGTCCTAAGCGTTTAAAGAGTCTGTGGCTTAGTGACGACTTGGTCATTCCACCCTGCTTGGTTTTGCGGGCTCGCATCTGGTTGGGCTGCTATGCAGGGCAATAAGCTATTCAAGCTTCTATTGTATTTGTTTCCTTGGTTGTCAAATGTGAATGAAATGCATCTAACTAATCAAAAACTTGGGTATTGTATATGTTTCACACACTCGGCCGTCAAAAATCGTCATCAACCACCCCCCCTCCTCACGAGTACTTCTCCCCCTTCTGCGGCGGCAGCAAGCCTTCGTGGTCATGCAACACCAGCTGCAGCGCGCTCTCCTCGACCCTGACCTTGACCACCTTCTTCCACACACTATTCGACCCGACACCAGCCCCGACGTGCGTCAAATCCCCGTCCGGCGGCGGCGCCGACCGCAGCGCCAGCAGCACCAGGTCCTGCAGGTCCGACCACGCCGTCACGCCGCGCAGATCAAGCCGCCTGTTGCCGACCGCACACCCAACCCAGTCAAGCGCCTGCGAGACGAGCACCACCCCGCCGTAGACGCCCACGACGCCGAGGTAGATGTACATCATCACGAGCGCGAACTCGAGCGTCTTGGAGAACTGGCCCGACCCGTAGCCGTGCCGCTCGGCGTCCAGGTCGATCTGCACCCAGTCGTCGCGGAAGCGCTGGATGTACTGCTCCACCGTCATCTCGAGCTCCGACTCGGCGAAGTTGCCGTTGTAGATCTCGCGCGTCGGGTACGTCGCGTTGTCGGCCACGCTGACGTAGCTGTGCGCGCCGGACCACAGGCCGTTCTGGACCGCGAGGTTGACCCACGTGAGGTTGTCGGGCTCCTCCTTGAAGACGAGGCGGGTCTCCTTGTTGGCGGCGATGCGCGCGATGGCGTCCGTGAGGAAGACGCCGTACAGCTTGGCGAGGAAGGACTCGGTGTCGGACCGGCCGACCTGCGGGTTCTTGCTGTCGTCGATGGTGTCGAAGTAGCGCACGTAGGTGCCGTCTGCGCGCTCGTGGCGGAGGAGGAAGCGGCTCATCATCATGCGCAAGGGCGACGTCTCGAAGAGGGTGTTTTGTTGCTCGTTCGTGTCCGTCATGAAGACGCTCGTCGTCATGTTGAACAGGGGGCTCGTGCCCGCCAGCCAGGACTTGTCGATCTGCATGACGCTCGCGCGGTTGGATTCGTCGTCGTGGAACAGCTTGTTCATGACGTCGGGGGAGCTGACGTTGGAGTCCATGATGTTGTTCGACTCGGGGTCGACGCTGAATTCCGAGGGCACCCATCGCCCGAGGAACGCGCAGGCGTACACCCACGTCTTTTGCTCCATGTCCTTTGAGGCGTACGGCATGGTCCCCGCCACGGTGACGACGGACTTGACGCTCGGCGCAGCAGGGTATAGCAGGTTGAACGTCTCAGACGTCGAGTGTCCCGAGACGTTCCAGTAATCGCGCTGCACAATGGGTGGATTCCGCTTCAGGGAGAGGCAGTCTGCGTCTCCGTAGCAGTTGATGGAGCTCATGGGGAATATGGCCTCCGTGCCATTCTTCAACAGCTCGTCCTTGTCGTAAGCCGCGCACCGGCCCTGCATGAATGGCTGCTTCACCGGTGTCTTGGTCGTGAGCTTGTAGCGTTGCGTGTCGTGAAGAATCCCTATGCTATCTGACTTGTGGATATAGGTGGTGAGCAGCCCCAGGGAGTTCATGACGAACGCTGGCGGCGTGGTAAACAGAGCCACGGAGCTGTTCTCGTGAAGCTCAAGCCGTCGACCGAGCTCAGACGAGAACGTGAGGTTGTTGTCCAGATCGGTGTAACGGAAGCTTCCCAGCCAGTTCCAGATATCCGAGAAGCCGCCAGCGTAGCAGTACGGTTGAAAGATGCTCTCGGTCGTGAGGCAATCCTGCTTCTCGTCAAAGTGGTGAAGACTGCTGTCCAGAATCTGGGGCCATGCTTTGTTGGCCTCGAGCGTGTATATCAGAGGCATCTTGACATTGTCAAAAGCCGCGGGGACGTTGTACCACCCGAGGTTCGGCACGAACAGAATGGCGGACGCAGGACCGATAATCGTCGACATGATTGTGCCAAACACGACAAAGGCAACGAGTATCACCTCCACCGTTCCAACACGCCCGAGGCCCCAGAACGCACCGCTCGTCAGGTACGCCACATCGCCAAGACGGTACCCGCCGGTTAGGAACCCGAGACGGACGCCGTCACCGACGAGCCTGCGGCGGAACATCGACAGAGCGATAGCGGCGAGCGAAGCCACGACCATCAACTCGTGCAGCTTCGACGCGAACTGAAGGACGTTGGAGATGACCGTGTGCTTGTTCCCGAACCGGCCGATGATGGGCAGGTCGGGGCCGGTCTCGGGATACCAGAAGATTTGCGAGTGGCTCATCCATATGAGCACGCAAGTGACGGCAATCG